ACTGCATTTAGATCTTCTAGAGCGAAGAGCTGTGGCTGTGATTTTCTCTAATTAGTTGTCGTAGGAGATGGCTTCTAACGATGGCGATTCATATTGAGGTAGGTAATTTTCTTTGTATAGCAAACGCAAGTCACCATAGAATTAAATCTGCGGTTCCACGTTCGATCTATTTTATACCTTTTCTTGGATTTAGAGACCTGTACAAGCAAAATTTATAAATCTCAGGAGTATTTGCTGAGTGCCGATTGGTATATTTGCATTACTCCTATGTTCTCTGAATCAACCAGAATTCCCTTTGATCAGCAGAATTTGGCTTTACTAATACCAGTATAGGTGTATATTAATTATTTTCTTTATTCCATTCTGGAACCGACCCCACCCAAACTCACCAAGCTTGCATCCCTCCGGGGTCTGCAAATCGCTACCAAACCTGTCTGAGAGGATAGCAGCACTGGTTCGAACATCGGTGAGTCACCGCGAGTTAGTGTATAGGGCAGATATGCACTAAATCACCTACAACGATGCTAATGAAGTCGATTGCATGGCGCATTCCTCAAGGAGTGATTGATGCACAAAGCTTTATCCTCTATTTTATTGTTTCCTATGTTTACTTTTTTATAAACTTCTTACGATAGATTTGTCTTAAATAGAAAATCTGGATACTGGGTACTCTTTAGCCATCTATTAGCAAACGTTCCAATCAAATCATCGTTTTCAGGTTCTGAACCAGCCAGTCATAATGCTTTCACAGTTATTAATGGAGCTCGAAAGTTTAAATTATTCCTGTACTCTCTGGAACAATAAAAATGTCCTTCGCTGTGATAGATTCTGATTTTCGAAAATGAATAGCTGGCTTATGGAACCCGACACCACGAAATAAAACAGGAGCTACAACCACAAGATTGCTGAGATATTTGCAAAACTCTGGACCGCAAGTGTCTGCGGTGAGAAACGAACGCGGAATTGTCCTTATCGGTGAGTAACGCGTTCACCACCACACCATGCGAGTCTTTCGTTTCGTCTGTCTCTTAGGCTAGTTCTATACATCAGTGCCGTCAGCATTCACCCTTCAACAGGATTGAGCTGGAGAGTCCGCAGCGGCATTGAACCCAGTTAAGCTGAGGACAGGAGCGCGTTCGTTCCCCACCGCAGACACCTGCGGTCTGGAGTTTTGCAAATATCTGAGCAATATTGTGGTTGTGTTTCCCTTAATACCCTGCCATAAAAATTATAGAAGGCAGGAAATAAAAAGTAAAACATTGTGAAAACAGGAACTTTTTTTCATAGGGAAATACGAGAACTGAAAAGGTTTCATTGAATGTGATTTGAGCCGACAAGGATTCATCCAAGGGTAGATGATACCGCCATAGGGTTGCTGATCAGATTGATTGGCTGACATTTACAGTAGTTCAGGATTATTAAAGGATAGGCGATGGATTTGCGAAATTGGTTGGGTTCTTCTTAAGAGCTAGTTGTTTTTTCTCAAGAATTTCCCGACGACGAACCCAAATTATCCAACAAAAATAAGCAATCCGGCTTCTTAACCCGATGACTCTACTTCGTTTACTATGCAATGCGATTTCTGTCTGCTAATTGTAAGGAAGAAAACTACTTTTTAATATCTGTGTGGAATAGAGATGACAAGGAATTTGAACCACATAAAACAAATGTGTTGATGTAATGGTCGGGTAAAACGCAAGGTGTACAAGGAAAACTTTAATTCGAATGCCCCGAAACAGAATCTATAATAGAATCTCCACCAAAAATAATAACATTTCTGTTCAATTCATTCGTTTATTGATAAACTTAAAAATTCTTTGGTGCAAAAATGAAAATTAGTGTTTTAACTACAATGATGCTGAGTTATTTGCAAAACTTAGGACCGTAATAGGTGTCTGCGGTGGGGATCGAACTCGCGATTGCCCCTTCCGGAGGACAACGCATTCACCACCATAGCATGCAGGTGTATTTATATTTGATATCATACCCTGCCATGAAGAGGAATAAGCAGTTAATAATAAAGTGAATACTAATGTTCTATCAAATGTCTCTGCTCCACCTCCTTTTTTAGGTAATGAATCGACTCGAGAGTTTACTGCAGCTATTTAAGGCCAAATTATGAACACAGAAAGTCATTAAATGCATAGTCCGATATGAATATGTAAAGTAAGAGGCGTAATAGTTAGAGATGCCATGCAGTACATCAATGTTCGTTGGTTCGTTTCCACCACGAACTAACCACTCTTATCTACCTTCACTCTGGTGGCGACAAATTGATCGCAGACGTGCTTTTGCTTTTTATCTACAAAAGGCCTGCTTGTCCATGTTGTAAAGACAAAGGAGGTCAATTCGGCTACGAATCGGCGACAGTAGTGAAAAAGAGAAAATTTTGAACTATCAGATGAACTCAAATATAAGCACGGAAGAATTTCGTGTATGACGACGTGTGATAGGCAGCGATCCGAATCAAGGAACTCTAGATATCCACACCATATGTGAGGACGAGTCACCGGATTTTGTTCACTGCGCTTTTGTTCGGTGTAGCCTTCGTCTTCACAGCATCAGCAACAGTATCATCTCCGATGTGGTTCGCATCATGTTGCCGATGATGAAGGCGTTAAAACGGTGAAGTATGGTAAACAGTAAATGCCCTCATAACTAGTTTTGTGTCTGTGAATCATCTGCATAAGCAGATTATTGTGAAACATCAACGAGTATCGAACTTCCCCTCATCATCTATCATTACTTGTTGCCTTCCAATTCTCGCGATGAACTTGAGGTACGTTAAAATCTTAAAAATCTCTAAGAGAAGAAAACAAAAGCGAAATAAAAGTTTGTTTAACGGTCTTTCGTTAGATTTTCAATCTTCTCCATCAATTTCGAGAACTATTACGAAACTTCTGCGATTATTTCCTTCACAAAGCAAACTTAATCAAAATAAAAAATTTGGCCAACTTTACCACAACAATCTTAACTCTTTTATTTACTGCCTTTTTCTTCTTAATGGCAGGGTATGTTGTGAAATATAACTCGTATGAAGTGCTGAGATACCTGCCAAACTCCGGACCACAGGTGTATGCAGTGGAGAACGAACACGCGCTGTTGTCCTTACCGGGGAGTAGCGCACTTCACTACCACACCATTTCGTCTTGCCTGTCTCTCAGCTAGTTCTATTGATCTCAAGATCCCTCATACCCTGATCTCAAGATCAATGGAACTAGCTGAGAGACAGGCAAAACGAAGGACCCGGATGGTGTGGTGGTGAAGTGTGCTACTCGCCGGGAAGGACAAACACAGCGCGCTTTCGTTCCCCACCGCATACACCTGCTGTCCGGAGTTTTGCAAATATCTCAGCATTACATACGAGTCATATTTCGCAGCATACCCTGCTATTAAAAAGAAAAAAGGCAGTAAATAAAAGGGCTAAGATAAACAACAGTTATAATTTTGATTTTATTCAGGTTTTTCACTATTTTCCCATAACACCAGTATTTTGCTGGTTAAGTTTCATTAGAGTTCCTAGGATAGCCCTATAGTGGATTTCCAAGTCTATTGTAGGTTGAAAGACGGTTTCTCACCTTGAAACTAGGATCAGTAATGTCTATGCCATCAGCTTAGATGTCGCTGTCTGAAAGTAAACCTCCTGCTGAACATTCCGTTTCTACAGCCAGCATGGAACAGTACTGGATTATTATCAGTAACTAAACGAAGAGAAAATTGGAAATCTCATCCGTGATTAACCGCCAACATTTATTTGCTATTCTACAGAATACCGACAGACCCATTGCGAGGTGTCGTCGGCAAGAGTTTTCGACCCTTTTCGGCGTTCTAAATCATTGGTTATGGATTTGAGAATGGATGACATCTCTACTTTTTACACTATGACGGTTTCGGTTTGGTATCACTTGTCAGTCTTTGATCGGATTGTTCCGCCCAATTAGCCAATGTGGGCGATAATACTTTGCACTTGTTCTATCCTTTCAAAGTAATCAAAAAATTGGAGAACCACCTATAGTTTTTGCTTTTGTGATACTGCAGGCGCGACTGCTGCGAACCTTAGCACATTTATTTGCAAGAACATTCAAATGTGCTTCACTTCCTTTCCCAGACAGCTTTTGAGATGTAGGATCTGAACTTGTAGGCCATCCTTAAAAGCTATCTATTTCTTATTTCGAAGCTCCAATTCAAATTAAATTGTAAAACAGATAGTATAAATGATTAAGATATTTGACCTAAGCAGGCTTTTTCAGATCGTTAGAAGAGGAAAAACATTTAATCCTCGATAACGCTGAAGTTTTAAAGCAGGTAACCAGACTTTTTCGAATTAGCTCTTAAAAAACACCACTCGTTTTCCTTTAATATTTAGAGCACCCCGATTGCTGAGAGTGAAAGTCTCAATGACGGAGATGAGGCGGTGAAGAGCATTCATCCGTTGACCACTGATGAAGTACTATCAGAGATAGGAGTGTACGTCTTTCAATTGATTATTGATTATTATTACCCTTATTGATTGTGGTTCGTTGATTCTTTTTATCAGCTTGTTTATATGGTCCGTCTTCACATAGTATGTGAATAGCTACGCCTCCTCCAGTTGATTCTTTGTATAGCATCTGTCGTCCACGAAGATTTTGGTTTTCGATTTTGGGCATAAGTCCGCCTATCTATTGATGATTCTGTCCCCGTAATCCTAGGACGGCCCTAGAAGGAATTACTGGTTTTTTGCTAGTCATAAGGAGCTTTCATCAGAGAAGTTTGGCACCATTATGCCGGCCTCGGAAGGATGGCAGCTTTCATTTGTTTACGATGAAGGTCGGTCAGCGACAATATTTGTTGTGGACATTGTCTATTACCACCACATCCTCGGCGCGCATAGTGCACTGGTCGGAGGCGCCCGGCAATACACATGGAACCGATCCCGGCACCAAACGCTCACTAAGCACACCATCTTTCCGGAGCATGCAGATTGGTACCAGACCTGCCTGGAAGGGTAGCGGCACTGGCTCGATATATCGGCAGGCCGCTGCGAGTCATTGTAAAGGCCAGATATGCATTCAATCGCCTCCAACGATCCTTAACGAAGTCGAATGCATGGGGCATCCCTCAGGAATAGATCAACGCTCAGAGCTTTATCCTATATCCTTTTTGTACAGTCCCAGCATTTCGTCCACTGGGTTCGCCTCATCTCTCTCCTCGAAAGTCTTCTGGTTCACATGCAGGTTCGGCTATTGCTCGAAGGTTTTCTTCAGTCTTCTTTATGAATATCGTTGAATGCTGATCGAGTTCATTGTTCCTACTAGAAAACCAATTCTGAACAATCTGAGAGGTTCCAAGATTTTGACAATCTGCGGGAGCTTCCCACATAACTCTGGTATTGATCCCCCCATCCAGGAGTGACGAGAAGCCGGGTTAGCCTAAGAAAGAGTCGTAGGAAGGCTTTGACCTTGAGTCTATTGAAAAGCATCATTACCGCTGCGACGCGAGATTGTAAATAAAAGAAGATTTTTGGAAATAATAGCTATTCGTATTGATTTAGGTTGAATCCGTACACATTATTCATCATGATATCAACGGCTTTTTTGTGGTGTCTATCCGCTATGACAACGATGTCGCCGGCATACTTGTCGCCGTCTACCACATGCCGCAATAACTGCACGTTCTTCACTGTTCAAGAGGAGGTAGAACAAATTAAAGCTAAATAAGGGAAAAATACTAAAAAAATGCTTTGGTAACGAACACGTGAGAGTCAAGAAATCTTTCACGATGCTTTCACTCGACATCGGTCAAGAATCTCGCTCTCTACAAGAAAATTTTGCTACCAAACTAACTGAATGTAAACGTAAGTATAGAGAAAAGTAAATACAAAACCATTAGGTAAAAGCATTTTCTTTGTAATCATGAAAGAAATCTCTACTACTGGCTTACCGTTTTGTTGTGACTGAGAAGTATTCCTGAGCGCCAGGTTGCGATGTGCAGCGGAGAGATTCATTCACGAGCCCAGCAAGGCCTACCAAGCTGAGAAGGACTTCGGCGTTTACATCAGGAAACCCGTGTAGGAGTAAATCATTATCAGGATCCACCATCGTCCTGGTATCAAACTATGCGCATGGTGACAAATCTTCCTCTGATCCACAAGGGCTGCGACTGCCTGTGGTGGTGACTGCCCGCGGCAGAAATTGCCTAGGCTGACTTTTGCACTACAGGAAACCACAATGGCTAAACCAGCAAAACTCCGAGAAAATGGAAATTGTGTTGAGGCCCGCCCAATTAGCGAGAAGGGGCCATCTAAGTGCTGAAGTATCCAAGTAATGAAATAAATCGAAAGGATGTTCTATGTTGAATCTCATAACTTCAATGATTGATCTAAATATTAATTTCGATTAGGATCTCTTTTATTTTCCCGACATAGCTCATAAAGGAGTGTACAAATTTGTTAAATTGAACATCGGAGTTTTTGTTTGAGTATTTGCATTTCGAAAAATACTTTGTCTGATAACGTATTTGTGGAAGTTCGGAGTGGTTTAATTTTCAGCGCCATAGAAAAAATTCCCGCCTCATTACTTCCTTGTAAAGCATCACGATTGTGAGCAGTTCGATCGTATAGATAAGGTTCTTCGTATTTGAGTACTAGGGTGTTTTTATGCCAGATTGTTGGTATATTGGCAAGTCCTTTTCACTGATTATTTTATTTCGTCATATGGAGAATCTTTGCACAACCTTTTTGCTGAATCGGTACCTTTTACAACGTGGATATCATATCATGCATTGCTCATGAAATGCTATTCTCAAACTCTCGAGGCGTTCTGGATTAATTCCAAGAATCCGAAAATGAACCGTAGGAAAGAAGCCTCATTATCACGCGTGATATTGGACAGTATATAAGCCTGTTATTCTGACGGGAGGGGCACATTACGCTTCCATGTGAATTCTGTGAGGTTGGTCTCCACGCGACATACTCAGTGGAAGACTCATAGAAAGCGGTGAGTGTGCGGAGCTGTGTTCAATGTGATTGAAATCTTGGTTTAGCGTTTTCTCTGTTTGGTTATGAAGGTGCTTAGCCGAATAGATTGCTGTCAACTTAAACTTGCCAGGCTCTGAGGAAGGCAAAATCCGCCGAAACGTCAGTTTGTTCGTGAATAAAGAATAAAATAACATCCCGCGTTTGCTCAACAAGAATACGAAGCTGTTCTCCACAGTTAATAATTTGTTAAAACTTTAAAACTTTTCAAACGGATTAACTGCTTGGTTGGATTAGCTTTTCAGTGGAATATGGGTCTTCGAGTCAGTCTTCGGCACGGAATAATCAGTAGCTCGAATTAGAATGGTTGCACGAATTTGCCACATAGGGCTTTTTGACGTTGCCACACAGCACAACCTCAACCTTCGGTTGTAATTTATCGTAATAATAGCTGAAATTCACAACGTTGGCATTTTTTATACTGCTTTATATCTCAGCATCATTGTGGTTCTTTCATAAATAGTACCCGGCCATGAAAACATGTGAAAGTCAGTAAATAAAAAGTCAACTTCAACGGCGCTGAGATACTTGCCAAAATCCGGACCGCAGGTGTCTGCGGTGGGGAACGAACGCGATATTGTCCTTTCCGGGAAGTAACGCATTCAACACCCGTGACGGGTGATTGCTGATGCAGAGATCGATAGAACTAGCTGAGAGACATGCGAAACGATGGACCCGCGTGGTGTGGTGGTGAACGCGTTACTCCACGGGAAGGACAATAGCGCGTTCGTTCCCCACCGCAGACACCTGCGGTCTGGAGTTTTGCAATTAACTCAGTATCATTGTGTTGTAATAATAGTCGCAAAATATTAACAATGTGACGACATCCGGAATGCAAAGGAACACAAGCGCCTGGGCGAAGATGGAGACTGTACGACAATTAGTTGAGCGAATTCACTATTCTGAATAATAATGCTCCTTATACTCCTTCTGTCCAAGGATCTCCCTCATATGAGAGATCTCGAGCCGGTTAGTTGCAAGGCTACGTGGCGCGTCCCCAGGAGGCGGATAAGGATCGCGGACCAAAAGCGACCTTTGCTTTCCTGTTCCTGAGACGCAGCGCAGTTGGATCTAGGGGATGGAGTTCCTGTTTCTGCTGCGTTGATTTAGTACATACTTTCTGTATTTGCTAGGCGTATTCATGCATGCGTGTGTGAGAGCGTTATTGCTTATGCGGATTGCATTCTACGAGTCAATGCGGCTTCTAATCAAGAAACAGGGAAGTATATGGGAGGCGGTTAGGAGTCGCCTCCAACAAATAAGCTCCATCTTCACTCTGGGAGGCCTGGCAAGCTACCCGTGAGTACACCCAGCCCCACGTTGAGAGCTCAGCAAGCTATACGTGAGTATGAAGATGCTAAACACAATAATGGAAGTTGACTGGCTTACAAAGAACTAAGGTGATCATTTGTGCCTACAATGCATGTACGCTTGCGTCCAAGTCCTCGATAGAAGGCTTGCTCATGCAAGCAAGAAGGGTAAGGTACGGCGTCATCGGCTTGGCCAAGGCGAGACGACGCCATCCATTCAACGCCGTCTATGACACCGGAGAAGAACTGCTTCTCGGAACATGCGACAGTAAAGGAGTCGGCGGCGTCGGCGTTCTCGTCACCACGAGTTTCTCCATGAACATCGATTCATTCGAACAACTTACAACCCGAATCGGACGTTTACGATTAAAAAGACATAGATCAATTCCGGCTTTGACAATCTCCGTCGTTTACGCGCCGACATCAAACTATGACGAAGAAGAAGAAGCGTTCTATATAGACTTGGAGGAGTTCTACAGAGAAAACCATACATTCTTCAAGGTCATCGTCAGAGATTTTAACGCCAATATTGGACCAAGAAGAACGTCTGAAGAACGTCACATTGGAACCCACGGATTAGAATGCGATGAAAAGGGTGGGCGGCTATCTGAGTTTATCATGGCCACCAAGACCATCCATGTAACTCGCAATTCCAGGAGCCCCACCCTCAGCGTTGTACGTGGGAGTCTCCCAATGGAGAGTACCATAACGAAATAGACCACATCATAGGAAATAGAAGGTCTTGCCTAACCGATGTCGCCGTTGTCCCAAAATTCTACACGGGGACAGACTATCGTCTCCTTTGTGCAAGATTCTATTTCTCGCGGAAAGGAGAAAAAGCCGATAAATTCCAAAAACGCAGTCCCAGAACCACCGCAAACTAGTAGTTATTCAATTCATTAGTCGGCTGTTAGGAACACCGCTGTCGATAACATTGACGAAGAATACGATCGGCTCATTCAACATATTCGCGCTAGTGCTATGAAAGCTGAGAATTCGAAAATCACCGAGATTCGTCTGTCTCCGGAAACACTCGAGCTGATACGCCGGCGTGGAATGACACGAGTTGCACGCAACCGTGAACTAACGTCCGAACATGCAAAACAATGCAGACAAGCAATAAAAGAAGAACGTAAAGAGAGAAGAGCAGCAGTAATGGTCGAAGCTGCAAAGGCTGGGAAAAGCATTCGCAAAGTCCACCGAAGCTTAGCCAATTACAAGACCAAAATGATTGCTCTCCAGCGCCCAGACGGAACAGTTACAGCGTCCAGAAAAGTAATGAAGAAAATCATTCACGAATACTACTCAGATCTCTTTGATAGCCACGTTCACCTTTCGTCATATGAAATAAAGGAGGTTGGAATGTTTTACCACCGGTTCTCCCTTCCGAAATTCGACATACCATTTCGCCGGTGAAATGTCGAGCAGCACCAGGTCCGCTCAGAATAAGACCAGAACACCTGAGAAACCTTTCGCCAGTCCTCGTAAACACACTCGCTCGGTTCCTCACATGTTACCTGTCTGAATGCAAGGTTACTACTCAGTGGAAGACCATCAAGACTGTGATATTGTTCAAGTAGGGTGACCTGCACGATATCGGCAACTATCGCCCAATCTGCTTACTGTCTGCCATCTACAAACTTTTCAATCGAATCATCCTAAACAGAATTAACAGAACACTGGACGAAGGACAGCCGTGTGAGCAAGCTGGGTTTCGAAAAGGGTTTAGTACGATGGACCACATCCACACAGTAACAAGGCTCATTGAAGTATCGCGAGGGTACAGAAGAGCGCTCTTTCTCACTTCCATCGATTTACAGAAGGCCTTTTACTCAATTGAGATAAAAGCAGTCATGGAAGCCCTTGATAGTCAAGGAGTCCCTACTCAGTACATAAAGATTCTTCGTGAGCAGTACAAGAGTTTCACAACCAAGATATCACCATTCTACAACGATATTAACGTTGACGTCAAAAGAGGAGTTAGGCAAGGCGATACCATCTCGCCAAAATTATTTACCGCCACACTCCAGAACGCCATGCGAATAATGGAATGGATAATATGGGAGCGAAAATCGTTGGTTGGCAGTTACATCATCTTCGCTTTGCTGATGACATCGTCCTTATAACACCAAACATTAGCCAAGCCGAACGTATGCTTGTCGACTTTGAAAAAGCCTGTGGGAAGATTGTTCTTCGACTAAATCTCACAAAAACGATGTTCATGAGGAACGGATTAGTTTCGTATGCTCCATTCACGCTCAACGGGACGAATATCTCCGAATGCTCCAGTTATGTCTATCTAGGTCGGGAAATAAACATGTCGTACGAGTTAGCTCGGGAGTTGAACAAAAGGAAACGAATGGCTTGGAAAGTTTTTAAGAGCATCGAGGATGTAGTAAAGAGAACAAAGACCACCCGACTCCGTGCCCACTTTTTGCACTCTATGGTCCTCCTTACCTTAACGTATGCGTGGGAAACCTGGTCGTTGCTTAAGCAAGATGAAAGATCACTCAGCGTTATTGAACCCGCAGTCGAAAGGACGATGCTAGGAGTATCCTGTTCCACGCAATTAAGGGAAGGCATCCGAAGCATCGATCTGCTTCGACGATCAAAAATCAAAAATGCCGTTCTGTACGCCAAACAGTCGAAGATAAGGTGGGCCGTACATATAATGCATATGAACGACAACCGATGGATAAGTGCGGTTAGTGACTCGATTCCTCGTGATATCAAACCTACTAAGGAAAAACCACCAACCCGATGGCCAGAATTCTTCACGAAAACCTTAGAAGAATCGGCGACAAGTGGGACGACATGTGATACAGGTATGAAATAATTTGAAAGAGCAGTTTGCACAGAGAGTTCGTGAAAGCTATGCTTATATAGAAAGTGCAAGTGACAGAAATGCAGTAGTTTATACAAAAAGTTCGTTGGAAGGCCAGATGCAGAGAAGCATATGCTGTTGACAGTTGCCTACTCAGTTTCCAAGCGGTCGGACAAAAAGGAACAGTTACTGCAAAGACGTTGCAGGATCACTTTCCTGTCAGCTGCTAAGCAGGTGCATGAAATGCTCACTAGAAAGCAATTTTCAGAGAGTGTAAAGGTAATTGTGATTGTCAGCAAATATAGTTGGTATAGGAAAGATGCGGTAGTATAGAAAATAGGAACTGTTGGGAGAAAGGTGCTATACTGGTGATATGAATAGTAGCTGATTAACATTTCATCTGAATTGTTACAATGATTCATAACTGTTTTATGGAATCTATGGCTGCAAAGAATACAAAAGTGGCCACAATATAATCTCCAGAAGACTTCTAAATGCTGGAAACAATGTGCTTCTGTGATGGACCATAGTAATATGCACTAAGTAGTGTGTAGGACCACAATTAATAGGCAGTACGTGGTAAATAGTGACATGTTCAAAATTTCTGCTATAATTCTGTGGTGTTCTCAATCCTTCAAGATCTCCAGTTATTAAAAAGCTATCTTCTACCCCTTGGAATATCTGCAAGTCCGCAACCGAAATGGAATTGCTGTCGTTTAATTTTCTATTTTCCTGCCATACAAAATTAAGCCTTGGGGTTTATGTCTCACCTACTTTCAAACATCTACTAATTTTGACAATCGTCAACATAGCAGGTGTAATACTTACATTTTAGTTTAAAGTGAATCGTACACTTATCGATCCCTCTGAATTGGCTTCGTCGATGTATTTCCTGGGAAATCTGGTTTTTGGACAAATGTATTGCATGGCAGCTGATCGGTATGCATTGTTTATCCGTTCGTCCTTTAGAATTTTCTACACCAGCTTCATTTACATTGAGGTTTTTTGTTATTATCGCACACTTTAGGGCATAAGTTAGTGAATAAATATCTAAATTACGTTTATAATATTTGAATCCACTCACTATTAGGAATACAAGTGGTGTTTTCAATGGAACTAGCTCATCAAAATTATTGATATATAGCATTCTGACCACACTTTTAAAAGTCTGTTTAGGAAACATTTTTAAGGTATTTTGAAGTTTAATTCGTACTGTACTTTTTCCAGTGTGCTTAAAGTTAAAAAATAACGTCTAACAAGACGTTCAGGATTGGACGACGTCCCGTATTGGTGTGGAGCCTTATCGTTTCCGGTTTGGCCGGTGTTGGAGCCGCTATATCTCCGAATCTCTTTCTGATGCTCTCTGGAAGATTCATTCAGGGATCATTTTTCAGTGTCAGTGTTTAACAATTAGCATCATACTTGAGAAGCTATCAAGTCTAAGCCAACACATCTTATTTGAACTGGATCCATAAAAAGTATTAGAATCTACAGAATTCTGTCAAGTAAGCATTCCATTTTCAAGCAAGAAATTTCTGATTCTGACTTTCGGGAGGCCTTTTCAGCTTTCTTTTTTGCTGAGACCCACATCTCGGACACAGAAGCAATCGAGCTATCCTTGGCGTTTGCGACCATCACGCATCTGTTAAAAATTGTAATAGCTTTACAAGAAATTTAGTTTTAAAAAATCTAAAAGCAGGAAAAGTATCGTATGAAATTGTACAAAAATGATTTCCACTCGGCGCGATGTCATGAAGCCTGTTATATAAGCTTCATTAAATCTCTATTCTTCTACTATTTAAATTATCGAGAAATCTTCGTCAGTTGTCGAAAAAACAATATGGAGCGCTGTTTCATCATCTTTTTATTTGTTTATTTGTTTATATGATTCTACTTCATTCGTCGTACAACTCTTAGCGCATCCTTTATTCCGTTCCTCGTCTTAAATCCGTCGCCGAAGCTAATCCTATTTGGAATCTTAGGAGAGCTCTGCTCAAAGGTTCCTAGATCATAACCACAGGATGTCCTCACCACCCTTGTATTGAAGATAGATTTCCCCTAACACTTTCTTGGAGTGTTAGAGGGCATTATTAGCTCAATGCGAGGTTGAACCGACGATTATATCATGTTTATTACCTCGGATCTGTAACCACCAATCACTAAGAATTATGTATCAACATTGCGCTGTTTACATGTACCTCACGTCTTAAACGATAAGTTTTTCTCAGTAATGATTTTTATTGATATAACGGCCCTTGTCTGGCTTCTTTTAATATTATAAAACCCATTTACAAGTGAAGCAATGACGGGATTCATCACCGTCTGAATAATTCCTAGCCAATATGAAACGACAAACTCCTACTAATTCAAGTACCTGTAGCAAGTTACTGTAGCTACTACCTGAAGAAGTCCATGCATAGAAGCCGTCACAAATTCTCATAAAGTAGGAAGATGAATCGAATGATTCTTTATTGAAACGAACCATCCAAATAGAAAATATTCCGTCTAGGTTGACGGAAAATTATCTTCACTGTTAAAGAACGTAGAGTGCTTGGCCTTTGCCAATCTCTTAAAGAACCCCTATGCGTGTAATCCCATTGAGCATTGTACGTGTGACTGAATATCCCATAGAATGACTTATGGAAGCATGTTGAAAGCCATGCTCTCCCCTTATCAGACAGGTTTCGCAGCAGTTCACCCGTCCCGAAGGGATTAATGTCTTGGTTAATCCAGTATCTGGAATCAAACCAAAAATTGCGTATCTATTCCAAGACAAATTCTAGCCAATAAACCCTCGTACCTTACGCCTCGTCGTTCTGATTACTCTCACTAACACAGTTATTTCAGTCAATCACGATGATCAACTGGGTCCTCTGCTGTGAATCGATTGCCTTCAAAGGACATTCCTATACTTCAGTCCTCTATGGCATTTTCTGGGTTGCAGATAAGAAAATTACCTCTTGAAAAATCACGATGTGATAAATATGACTTTGTCTCCAATAAAAGTATTAGTAATGTTTGAATAAAGGCAAATATTAAGAGAAATGCACTAGTAAAACAAGCGAAAGACAAAAAAATTTCCAAAAATTATGTGTCAAATAAGATTGTAAAACCAAAATGCTGGAAGTTCATAATATTGATTAAATTCTATGCAATTATTCTTTGTTCCATTTTTCTTCCTAGGGACGATTCCACGTCTGTGTCGCAGTGGTTGGAGGCGCCACTGCGACACACACGTGGAATCGATCCCCGCGCCCACGACCCACCAAGTTTCCATCCCTCCGGGGTCGGCAAACTAGTACCAGACTTGTCTGGGAGGATAGCGGCATTGGCTCGATACATCGGTAGGCCACCGTGAGCCATTGTAAAGGCCAGATATGCATTCAATCACCTCCAACGATACTTAATGAAGTATGCATGGCGCATCTCTCAGAGATTGATCAACGCTGAGAGCTTTTCCTCCTCCTTTCTTCTTTATCCATTTATCTCATTCCCACTAAACTACTTTAAAACTAAAAATGAACTTGCTTACTTACTTTGATACTTGGATGGCTCGTCTTCACTAGTTGTGTGGATCCCAGCACGATTCTCATTTTTTCGCAGTTTTGCTGGCTTAGCCACTGTAATTCCTTGGATTCCCGTGGTCAGCCTGGCCAAAGTCCGCCCATGGTCATCACAACCACAGGCAGTCGCCGCGCTTGTAGGTTAGAAAGAGATTTCCCACCATGCGACTAGTTTGACATCAGGTCGATGGTAGATCCCGGTATTTGTTTACTCTTAGCTAGGCTTCCTGATGGAAAAGCTGGGTTCCTTCACAGCTTGAGAGGGCCTGAAAGCAGATGAATCTCCGCTGTACATGGCAGTGCGGCACCCAAGAACACCTTCCACCTACGATGAGGCGGTAAACTATTAGAAGATCACAGTGAGCTGAATACTTATATAAAGTCGTATTCTCTTGAAACAGATGAAAGTCACTGCAATTACGTGGATACATTATTCATTTAATAGTTTGGATTTTAGGTTACTGCATAGTTACTCCTATCGCAGCATGTTTCCCGTCGTGGCGTTCAGTACAACTCATCACGTCCCTACCCACTTTGTTTTTTGGCGTTGTAATGCTGATGTGAGTTTCTATACTACACAAAGAAAATCCTTGTTAATCTTCTTTTTTCTTCTAGGCAAAGTTTTTCTTTTCTTTCCGAGAATAGCTCCTATTAGAAATCCAGTTGCCGACAGCAATAAATTGGCAGCTGAGTAGTACGGTACTCTTCACACGTCATTTCACGTCCACGTCAATTTTTATCTGCGTTGTCACCTAATAGAAACCTCAAATTCATCTATGAAGACCGAAAAAAAATCTATGTCAAAGATGACGCTTTACAATCGAATAACCGAAGAGTTGCACTGTGACTTCTAATGACAGAATAGTATTTTCCAGACTTCTTCCTGAAAGCTTCGGATTTTTGGTGACTAAAAAGAAAGCGGTGGAAGCCGAAAAGTGGATGCAACGCGCGCAACATTGGAGTGGGCGGAATATCGAATTTGACATTTTAAACACGATCAAGGTCGAAACTGCGAAAATTCCCGAAGAGACGAATCTTCTCGAAAGTCTTAGTGAGTATCACGATGTCGTGGTCGCTATCATTAACTTCTATAAGCAGTCTTAGACTCTATAGCACAGTAATTTTGCTAAAAGTTATTGACATGTGGCAAAGAAGCACCGTAGAAAATGGTAGGATAAGTGGGATGTAATGGTCAGGGACGAAGAGGAAAGTCTATTGTATCGGTTGGATTGACCTACTGTGTGCAAGGAAAAAGAAAGCATAATACAGGATTGATCATATTTGGAATCACATGGAATTTTCTCATCTACATGATTCAGATCACATTGTGCACAATTCGACCTTTATACTGTACGTGGCTGTTCAATCTGTTCTGTGGTAAGAAACCTGCAGACTTTTTACTCTTCTCCGCAGCTTTTTAAAACATAATTTGCTCACCTTCAGGATCGTTGATTTCATGGTCTACAGCGCACTATCATTAACTGCTACTTCTGTGAGTTAATTTTCTATTTCATTGAGAAGATGAACGACGGAGGGTTCAGTGTTGGTTATTCCCTGAAGGATGCACCATGCATTCGACTCCATCGATTGTCATTATAGAAGTGAATGAATACATAATTGGTCTATGCACTAGCTTTCATTATATCTCATTTACTCACCCGTTTCCTCTTTGCTTCTTTACTAGACATTAAACACTTCTAGCAAAATTACGCTACTGCAGTGAGATGTGGTGCATGTCACTGCACAGTTTTTCCACCGGATGACCAGTCATCACGTCTACTACGCGGATATCAGAACTTTACATTCAATTCGTTTTCCTCGCATTCATCGTTCGCAGTGGTTTGTCTTCGAACACCCCACGTGTTGTTCCAGCTGATTCCTGAGGATTTACTCTTTTTTATGAATGCCTTAGAATGCTGGGTAAGCCAATTCTCTTTTCAATCTTAGAGAGAACCGGTTTAAGGCGTTCCCATGTTAATTGCAGGAACGTGTTGGGACGGGAAGCGAACTAGCGTTTTCGTTTCTTCTTCAATGACATGACCAAACACTGCACTATCCTGCTCCAGTCACTGTTGCCTTAGGTTAAGTCTAAGAAACCTATACGTTTCACTGGAAGAAGAAAGCATTAGTGGAGGCATTATCAAGAGTATGAATGCCATTTCACTCAATTGAGAGAGCGAAGCTCTTGCTCTGACCATCATCTAGGCTACCACGTACACCATGGTGTCCACAGCTGTGCGAGGGGCTCATTTGCTTTAACGGAAACATCTATACAAAAGCCGACGGCTATTAAACAGCTTTCCAAAGTTGTCTAGGAGAATCGCCGAATACATGAGCATACATTTTTAGGAGGTACCTACACGAAAATGTGATTGCACTTTCATCCCTAAAAAAAAGTGAACCTATTGAGCAATTCTTGTGTAATAGCAATGAATGCAGACTTTAGTGCTCTTCAGCTCAAATGATTCGATGATTAACCTAACGACGGCTTATCTTACCCAGGGGCGAACAGTTCCATCGCAGCGTTCTTCAGTTATTTAACTCTCCTATTCCTTGGCGATTTTATCGTTTTAAGGAAAAAGTTTTCCATCAATGTCGAAATGGATGCATCTTTAGGTGGTTGACGGTGATGCCGATAAATCGTATCTTTTCTCCGGTCTCGTCGAACTACCATGCTATTTTATTATGCCGATTGCACTAGATCGGTAGGTCTACTTTAGGTCTACCAATCGGCAGCAATGGATAATCGATCGTTGAAGATAATTTCTGACGTTCAGAATAGGTCGTAAACCTACAGTGATCATCAGTCATGTGCTTTCCGCGATTGCGTTATTTGCAGTCTGCTTTCTTAGTGAGGGTGAGTAACAAATTTTCAGCGATTTATTTTATTCTTTATTACGTTGAACCAAAACGCGCAGTATTCTTGTTGGTAATATTATTGTATTCTTAACGGAAGAAAATCTTGAAGTGCACACATAATGAGATCATATCGATCACCTTTCATCATGTTAACCATGAAGCTATTTCAAACTTCACCTTCATTTTTTCTCATTTCATTCCGTTCTCGAAACTGAAGATAAATACGTCTGGCCGCATAACGTTTTTTCGTTTCAGCTTCTCATCCAACCACTTACCTGGTTGTTTGGCTGCTGGCGAAATTCGGGATGGCCAACTCCTTTATGTGCTGTTTCGTCTACGGTGCTGAGATCTTTCCCGTTCAGTATCGCAACATTTGTCTTGGATTCTGCGCTACAGTCAGCAACGTCGGAGCGATGTTGGCACCTCATTGCAGTATCTTGGTTCGTAATTCTGTATTGGACCACTCGGAAAGTAGCGCAAATTCTCGTCACTTGAAAAATATTCAAATTGTACCAGAATTCACACAAGCAGGCTTCATATTTTGCCCGTTAGAACTACTGATGATATGCTTCGCGGTGATTATAGACCTTTATACAGTGATTCTATGGCTGCTCTCTGCTCAAGCGTAAGATTTTCTAATTTCGAACGATACTTTAGGACGGTTATTGTTTAACAATTCAAACTTCGCTATAAGCTAGCGGGAACATCCAAAGCGTCCAAAGGACCTTATAGATGCAGTACTGATCGATTCAGAGCTGAATGGTACAACAAGTTTCAGTTTAGAAGCGAAATGAAGGAAAACAGAGAGCTAACTTAAAGAATAAAGGATAAAGCTCTCGGAGTTGATCAGTCCCTGAGGGATGTCCCATGCATTCAACTTCATTAAGTATCGTTGGAGGTGAATGAATGTATAACTAGTCTTTACAATGACTCGCGGTGGCCTACCGATGTACCGAGCCAGTACTGCTATCCTCTCAGACAAGTTTCGTACCAATTTGCCGACTCCAGAGGGATGGAAGGCTTGGTGAGCCTTGCGCACTGGGATCGATTCCACGTCTGTGTCTCAGTCAGTCTCAACCACTGCGCCACACGCGAGAGCTCACTTAGCGTCTCTTAAAGATGAATCCTAATATTATACAAAATCCTGAGAAAAAAGCACCTTCGAAAATGTTAACGTTCAACATTAGTATTATTCTCATAGGTGAATGGTATAATGAACTCAAATTGCTGCTCGTTTCAAAGATTGCTTACACGAATTCAACTCGCTTGCTACTGTGCGTAAGATCAGATTATGGCTACTCCGCAACCTCCAGTTGATGCTAGGACACAATTCCTTTCATATGAAAGGAACAAGAAGTAGTTTAGATAGATACTTACTACAACTCCAGCTCTGAGTGCGTGAAGAAATATTCACACTAAAAAAAGGAGCACCCTGCTGATTTCGATGAGGCCCAATCGGCTGATACCACTGTCAAAGCAGAACGCACCACTCGACACAATCGATCACGTACCCTGCAGTACTGTTATTCTGCTTTGCAGCAAAATTTCATGTATAGGAAAGATCTTTCACTGGTGAAAAGCTGCTCGATTTTGGCTTTCGAAGGGTCCGATGTAGCCCATTCGTATAAGCAGTTGTTTAGCCTGCTAAGAATAAAATACATTGAAACCAGGTAGGCGGAAACGCATGCGATCAGTTTTACGTTGAAGGCTGTTCTGTGCCGACAAGGAATGTCTAATTGATTAGGATTTGTCTGATTTCAAATAAATACATAATCTAGAAGCTTCGTGCTGGAAAGTAAGTTTTCCTTTTGAAAGACCTTAACAACGAATCATATTTTAGGACCTCGTCTTTCCCGGTATGATGTTCGGAACGTTTGCGGCGTTGTGCTCATTGTGCGCGTTTCTGACGTCATTTTTGCCAGAGACAAAGAATTTCCACTAAGAATACGCGTCTGAGTAGAACCCCAATTTCAGAAAAAGAACATCTAAACGATGGAGTCATCTGAAAGCTAAGTGCATTTCGTTATTCAACACTCACTGTTCGCTCCCACAGTTTTTCCCACGTAGTCATTTCCATTAGTCACGGGTCTGTGGAAAGTATGTTTATTTCTTAACCACCTACTACTGAAAACTAGAGTGCTATACGCTCAGCCAAGATTAGAAGTTTTTGACGCATGCAGGCAGTCCCAGATACTCGTAGATGTTTCCAAATCTGCAGTCCAACAGTACCATTGGCGACGTCGATAACCGGTCGAGCGACTTTTTTTCTTGGAACAGGCCCGTTTTCAATATCTACGTATCTGAGTGTAAACAGTAATTTGCAGTTGTGAATATTACAGAAGGCTTAAACTTTATGAGATTCTCAGAAAAATAATTTCTTGACCTCCGTCGAGCTTATTCGTTATTTCTGTTCCATCCAGTCTTTGTTGTCATATTTTCCAAAATGGTCAAAAACTGAATAAATATCTGAATATCGTCCTAACCCTAAACATGGAATGAAGTACAACTTCACTGAACGATTTAAACTCGAAAAGTCTGAAAAGTAGGCGCCGTCCACTGAGGCAGAAAAGCGAATTTACCCGCCATAGCGAATACAAAAACGCGATTGCACGCATTTTTTATACATATCCTTTCTGGCTGATCCTTTTGTCATAATGAGTTTCTTGTTAAATTGTCTGTATCTAATCGATAGTTACGCTTTGTGGCAGCCTCTGGAATAACATTCTCAACGGTAAAAAATTTACTGAAGACCATTGTAAACCGACTTTCCTTTAACCTCGGTATAAATGATCAATATACCCTGTTTCAATGATAAGCTAACAAAAAGTTGTTACCGATATTTATTCGGATAACGTTTTGACGTCTTCGTCTACTTCAGAGCCGATGATACGAGTCGATGTCCACAGAAGTTCGCTTTCTCGATGTGGTGTCTTCGTCGTTGTATCGAGCCGGTTCATGTACGATCTTGTATATAGAAGCATCGCCGGGTGACTAAGTCTCACTCAAGAGCTGCTCCACTAAAGAGGATCCGGCTGGATACGACGACGAAGACACGACATCGAGAAGCTGAACGGCCATTGACATCGACTCGAATCACGCACTAAGAAAGACGAAGGCGTCGAAACGTTAGCAGAATAAACAGAGAACTGTTCTGCGAATAAGTTTCTTTATTTGGTTTGGATTACTCGGCGAGTATTAACATTGCGCATTATTGACATAGTTAGGCTCGAAACTCAGGGATACTTTACCGCGCTGACAAGACGGTAGGTCATTGAGGGGAATTATATAGTTATTCACAATATGTAGAAGAACTAGACGTTCACGTAGTCCGCATTCATCGATCTGTACAGTGGTATTTTTGGAAACCCAACAGTTAATCTCTAATCCGTCAGTGGTGGTGTAAAAGTTGCCTCTAAAAACATTTATGTATAAAATCCATATTCCTCATGATACATCAGTTTGCCGTTTTACATGCACAATCGGCACCCACAATGCTTAGAATGTACAGTTTACAGACAACTTACAAAAAATTAGAGCCATGGAAATTTTGTAAAATTCACAAAATCGGTAAAACTCTCTAACATGGTAAAGAAAATCGTTCATAAACTCCATCACCACCGACTCAAACTCACACATTCTCGAATAATCCCTCCTAGGACGCGCTGTAACACTGCATGTATGACCACTTTTCATACACAGTTTGCAAAACTTTAAACTTTAAACAGTGCTTCTTTCTATCGTGTGCCATGTGTTGACGGAGTGAACCCTCTTCTCCCTCTCTCTCTTTCTTTCTCTCCTTCTCTCTCTCTCTCTCTCTCATTAAACGGCACGACACTCTGGTCAATGCAAATCTCTTTCCACAACTTTTATATTTTTGCTCTCGAGCAATTCATCTCGTTCATCACACTCTGCATTGTTGGAAAAACCAAAGTTACCCAGCGCAGTGTTTCCAGTCTGTGTGTTGCAATTACTTTAGACCCTAGCAGAAATACATCTAGATGATAAAAGGGGTGCTCTACTATTCCATCAGTTCAACAATTCCTATCTGAAAGCAGACTTCAGTGAATATTCTCGTCTCTTCAACTTTCAACACTTTTTACGATTGGTTATTATTTGCCGCCCGTATGTAACCTTTCCATTTACAACTGAATTTCGAATAGTAGCTATAAATAATTGGTAGAATTTAGAGACGTTGCCTATTAATTAAGCAAGAGCAGTTAATTCACTCTAAACTGAGTGTCATTGGAAGTCCAGTGCTCACCAACCCTGTACATAGCTAGCACTTTGCGCCAAAACGACCACTGCCGGCTGTCTCGTTTTCATCATCTTCGTCTAAACTATCTGATTCCATTTCTTCAGACACTTTGTCCATGACTATTAGAAGATGCTTATCTTTTTTCATCCCCTTTCTCTTCATTCCGATGAGCACACTATCCAAAATAAAGCCGAATTCGTGTGCCATCGAGCCAATTCATCCATACGAAATTCAATTTTTGAGCAGTTTTCGGTCGTTCATTTTTATGTTGTAGTTCTTAGGTTGCCTCATCAAGACAGCAGACATGACAAATAGAGAAACATCGAAAAACGCTTTTGAATCTCGCAAGATTTTCTGATTTACTACCTCAACGTGATTGGAAAGTGTTCCTTGGTGGGACTGTGATGTACAGCAGTGTATTTTCCCTCCAGTCGGCTCTGCCAAGCTGAGAAAAAATCCGATATTTCCATCCGGCAGCCTAGCTAAGAGTAATGGAATAGCAGAAATTACCAACGCTAATATCAGTCATCAATATTATACCAATTGCATGGTGGCAAATCGACATTTACCTGATGCCCAAGGACGTCGACTGCTTGGAATGGTGACGGTCTGAGGAGGGATTCGGATAGGCTGATATTAAGATTCCATGGAACCACATTATTTGAATCAGTAAATCTTCGACGTAAGTACTCGGCCCAATTGGCGTTTCCGCCTACGACGTCTTGTGGTGCGATGAGAAGACCATTGAGAGGCGGTCAAATCTCGGGTTTCAAAGAACGTCATGGGGAACGGACAAAACAGCTACTGCCACGACATTCCATGGAGACTTCATCCAGCCGTGCACCTATAGCGCCAGAACAGTCTTCTCAGCAGCCTACCTTCACGTTTTCCTAAGGCCTCTAGTCTCATCAAATTCTACGTGTTCGCCATTGGGTGAAAAAGATCCCTGCTGGTGAAAAGGCACACAGGATTCTACCCTTCGAAGTTCAATATCAAGTATGAAGAGAGGCACAGCACCGAAACACGATGATGTCACCACGGATTTCCTTAGAACCGGAGACTACAAATTATATGTACTTCTCGTAATCCACATTCAGCCATCATGCCTTCAGAAAGAGAATATCACAGACCAGTAAAGGATCCGGGCACGATCAACCTGCCTAGGAACGGTGACCGAAAAACCTTCGTAACTGCCCTCAAATATCATTGCTGAGAGTACCCTACAAGCGGTTCACGAAGATTATCCATTCGCGTCTAACGAGGATATTTGATGAGGCGCAACTAATTGAGCAAGCAGGATTCCGTCGAAGATTCTACTCCATGGAAGATACTCAGACCGTACCACGGGTCTAGAAGTCTGTCAATGCACCCTAGCCTAAGCATTATCGAATAAAAGAATGGATCTGATGGCGCTGAAGGGAACACAATCCCACTGACGCTTATCCACCAAACAGTAAACACTTGCTATATACGAACACTGGCAGACTGTTATCGCTACTGCAGCCCAAATATATGGCCTTTTCACCGACTCTTACCAAACCTATAAGAAAAAGGGTTCGACATGACGAAACAACATTGCCAAAGCTCGAAAGACCGACTTTCTATAAACCTCGGCATAGATAGTTGTTATATTTATTTATGTGATCTTATAAACTGATCTTCTTAAGCTGACGCGAGGTTGGTACAGATCTTCGTCTTCGTTGTCGTTGTTGTTGGTGTGGTTGGTCGATGGCTGAAATTTCGGCGATTTCGCCTTCCTCAGAGCCTAGACATGTTTTATATTAGAATAGTTTAATTATTCGGTGGAAAGAAAAGGCCAAAGTATTAATGAGGATCAAACTTTCAAATAGACGCCATATTGGACAGAAAGGCCACTCACCGTGATGTTACGTGTGGGACTGGAACTGATAGTTCACGCGGGGTCGCGAGCAAAACACACCCCGGGGTCAAAATATCATTTTGAAATAGGACGCCAGGTGACGCGTGATAGTGAGGCATTCGTCTTTCCGGTTCATCTTTGGATTTTTGAAATATATCCAAAACGCCCCAAGAGTTTTGCGCGTTGATGTTTTTGATTCCTGCGGTGGGATCCGCACCGTCACTTCAAAATCATCGCCGTTGTGCTTTTGTTTCCTATGCGTACCTAGAAAAGTGTTTAGACGGATTTTAACTTTCCCATGTAGATGTTCTTTTATGCGGACACAAAGTAGTCTACCCGTTTCCCCAATATATTCCTCGCCGCATTCGTTACATGAGGTCAAGTATATTATACCTAAACTCATGCAATCCCCGTCTCTCCCGTTAGGACAGATCATACAGTTTTCTGAGCTGCACAAACGATCATAGAGACGGTTTCGAACTAACTGGCGGCGTAGGGTATTGGGTGGGATGTCAATAATCGTTACATAATTTTGAAGACCACTTTTTCTTAAGTACTTTTTAATGGCGTGACTTACTTCATTTGATATGAAGGGCAGCTTAAAGGGGATCTTACATAGATAGGTCCAAAACATTATTTTAGGGAACCACCCTACGTTTTTGTGTAACTCGAGTGGCTTCCACTTCGTAGCCATTGGAAATGGCCATTTTTCGTGCTAGGCTTTGCGACTCCTTCCTTTCCTCTTCTCCTGCACACACATTTTTAGCCGTACCGTAGATGTTTTTGATAAGTGCTTTTTTATTGTTTATTGTTGTACATGTTTATTTCTCCTTCGTGTTGTGTAAGGAGTTCGAATATGGCTTGCATTGCGGAGTCATTCGACACGTTTGTATAAAGGGCGGTAACGTCGAAGGACTCCATCACGCACGCGCTGCTGGGCTGCGCAGTACGTAGACAATCCAGAAACATCTGGGCATTCGTAGGATGGGCTGGAATGTGTTTCAACAACTGGTTAAATATTAGGGTTAAAAACCATGTTATCCTGTCCGTTGGCCCGTCTACACAGCTAATGATAGGTCTAACCTTAAATAGTGATGGATCGCTGGATACTGCCATTTTGGTCCATTCGTGGTTTAGTTTTCGGTATTTACTTTTGATTTCTTCCTCAGATGATGGGCGATAAAGTGAAGCATCTTCAAGATGCTTTTTCGTTATCTCCACATCTAACTGATGAGGAATTACGACAAAGTGATAAGTGATAGTGATAAGGGTGGAGAGTTTGTCTTAGTGGAAAAACGTGGTATACGAGAAGTACAAGACCTGATAAGGTTGAAAACCATAAGACTTTCCGTTAGTGATAAGGGTGGAGAGTTTGTCGTAATTCCTCATCAGTTAGATGTGGAGATAACGAAAAAGCATCTTGAAGATGCTTCGCTTTATCGCCCATCATCTGAGGAGGAATTCAAAAGTAAATACCGAAAACTAAACCACGAATGGACCAAAATGGCAAGGGCTGCTGGTTTGAAACCATCAGTTATCTCTCAACTTAAAGCTGCCTTACCNAACGTCGAAGGACTCCATCACGCACGCGCTGCTGGGCTGCGCAGTACGTAGACAATCCAGAAACATCTGGGCATTCGTAGGATGGGCTGGAATGTGTTTCAACAACTGGTTAAATATTAGGGTTAAAAACCATGTTATCCTGTCCGTTGG